AAAATGTATTTTTGACTGTGAAAAAAAAAATGTGTTTAAATAAGGACTGGAGAGTTTAATGTTTCTATTAAATTTAGGAGCTAGTACAAGCTCCCTGCAGTGGCTCTCTTAACACCTACAATTTTGAGAGCTTTTCCACCAGAGAATACAGCCTAATAGACAGGTTTTCTGACTTCCAAAAGGTTATGGATTTAAAACCCATCGCCTTTTCTTTCAAATTCTATAGTTTACATTTCTTCTTTAAATTGCGGAGCTGAATTTCTGCCACCTCATTAGATTTCTAAATAAATTACTTCTCCTTGTAAGAAAAAAAGAGCCACTTTATAAGTACAAAAGAAGGTAAATGGGAAAAAGGAAAAAGGTCAATTCTAAGTGTGATAACTTCGAAATGTGCCAAGTTACAAAGGGTTAGCTACTGTGAGAGCCAAGTTAAACAAGGCATTTTGGGGCTGTCTTTCTGCCTGGTTCCCACCATTTCTCTCTAGAGACCCCTGGTATGGGTTTATGAACACCTGAGGGTCCAGATATCCTAATTGTGTTTTGTGTTTAACTTGGCCATTTAAATGTCTAAGTGCTCCCCTCTCTCCGGTCCGGCTTCATAACTTGGCTCTTACTGAATATCTCACACCTTGATGAAGTAGACCACTTTTTCCTTCTCACAAGTGCTTTTTTGGAGTAAATTTCCAAAAAAACAATGTTTTTAGCAGGTAAAAGGCTCGAAAAACTTCCATCAGAGAAGCACCACAAGAAACAGAATAGAGAGCCATCAAGGAAAAATAGAAATAGGTCACAACTGACCAATTTGATGCCACTGATTTGCTATCTCAGAAAACAAGCTGACAGCAGAATTATTTTCAGGCAGGTAATCTACTCCCATCTCATATCTCTCAGGAATGGAGATAAATATCCAACTAATACAAATGGGGTAGAGGGTAACTCATTTCATTGCCTGACCATCCACGCCTCTACATACTGGCTTTGAGACTCTGTGTCATTAGAAAGGGTTATTCTGAAGATTCGTAGCATAAGGACAGAATAAGTTTCTTGACTTTGTGTCTGGACTGAGAGAATTGTGATGCCAGGGCTTTAAGAGGCAGAAGGGACGAAAGAGTTCCATGTTTCAAAATACAGTTTGCAGTTTTCACAAATAGAAAAATGAATCTTTTTGGTGTACAACAGTTTTAATGCACTTTGGAGGAGGTAGGGAGACCCAGCAGGGTAAGCTCCACTGCAGCCAGAAACCTGGTACCCTCTACCAGGAGGTGGGTTATTAGGACAATGACACAAAAGTTTGCTGCAAATAAAAAAAACCATGTATAATTTTAAAGGAAACATAGTCATTCTTTCAAAATACTAAATTTCTGAGAATATACAAAAGGAATTCAACTATTTATAGAATTTTTGGTAGTATTAATAGTATTTGGTAGAATTATTTTTAAGCATTTGGTTGAAAACAAAAACTTTCAACTTGACTATCATTTTTTTTTTTAATGTTGGTACCTGCCTTATGTAAACTACTCCCTTGAGATAGTGGTTTCAAATTGTGATATCAGAAGTGACAGACATATCAGGAATATCTTTTAAACCTTGTTTGTTAAAGAAATAGTATGGATGGAGACAAGTTGGAGACTGAATGCAAAAGTTCATGTTTTATTTAGAAGGGTACATTGCATTTTCATGGTTTCCACTGTCTCCTTCAAATTGGTACAATCTGCAAGGTTTTGAAACACTGTCACTCGGCTAACAAAATCACCATTTGTATCTCTTAGTTGCAAAACTACTAATCAGTTCTTCATAAAAGAAACTTAAAATCAAAGCTGTCTTTCTATGCCTGCTGACAGTAAAGTGTAGCTCATTGCTTATTATTATGCCAGAATATTTGTCATAATAATACCTCCCTGGCTTTTCTATGATCCAAGTGTGACCTTCCCTACAATCTAACGGACAGAACACTGCTCAAATACATTTTGAAAACATGGAGACCCTTCCTGGAAGACACAGGGAAAGGAAAATAGTGAAGAAAAGGCCAGGTATTTAACAGGAGCCACTAGACAGCCATTCTAGTGCTCCAAACTCGATACTAATATCACAATGGCTCATCTGGCATTGCTCATCTCAATATGTGTTTTTCCAGGTAAATGCATACCCTGAAGAAAAACAAACCCACTCTTCAGTGAGGATTGTACTATTTTTATGCCTGTCTTCAGCTTCTCACCCCAAAGCTCAGCCAGCCCACCTGAGGCCATTCCCTCTTCTGGGAGCCTCCCAAGCAGCTGACAGAGGAGAACACCACTGTGTTCCGTGCCCACACAGAAAATGGAAGCTAAATCTTTGTTTTTAATGTAAATATTTTATTTAGAACTTGGCAGTTGAAACACAGATGCTGCTTCTTCATGGAGAAGATACCGGGAATATTTTTGCGATATGACATTTCAACAAAAGAATCAAATGCCCTCTAACTCATTTTCCCTTACATTTTTCTTTCCTTTTGCTTATTAACTTAAGGACTGCACAGGTCTCGGTCCCAGTTATTTTGCAATTCGACTTGTCAAAGACTGCCTTGCGAATACCGCCAACTGACAGCTTCACTGACCGCCCATAAAATCCTCCGTGCAGGAGAATAAATCTTTAGGAAGCCCGGGGAACGCATGCACCACAATCAACAGAACTTTCACCCGGAATTCACTCCAAAGGCAGGCGAGCCGACCGCCCAGAAACTGCAGATGAGCAAAACTACCGA